CGTGTAACACCATTAAGCACTGGTGCTTGCCTGCCTGCACATCCTAGTGCTGTTGGCAGCGTTTGTGCGTGGAGGTGGTCTAAGAACTCCAGGGAGGTAATATTTGCCACCTCTGAGTTTGAAATAGAGAAGATTGGATTTGAAATTTGAACTAGAGTAGAACCTTCCTGAATGTACTCCAGGATTAAAGCTGGCAAAGAGAGTACTATGAAGGTCCTCCTGTATCTTTCCTGTACGCACAGGAAAAAGCCATCCTTTTCAGCCCTACCTTGGCCTGCTTATCTATTGGAAAAAAAGTGCATGATGTTGTACATGTTGCAGTGCTGTTTGTCCCTGAGTCATTCTGCAAGGTGTTTAGCATCTCATCCTTCTGGTCTTAGGTGGGATGTGGAAGAGAAAGCACACAAAGCCTCATGCTGCTATTTAGAATTTTCTCCTTTTGTTTTGTGCTTCTCACTCTCTCCTTTTATATATTCTCCGTTTCACGTGTCTGTGTTTTCTCTCCTCCATGCTATGGCAGTGGTGCTCCATGCTGATGAGACAGTACGTGGTACAACCGCAGGCAATCATTTTTCAGGTAATTTCTAGGGTACTGAACACCTGACTCTTGCTTTTTCACATACCAAGCAGGTCGGGCTCCCCGATGAGCAGGGAGGGGCACTGTGGTTGTACCTGGGTAGAGTGGGAAGTTTATCTCCCTGGCTATTCTGCACTGAAAAGCCATGGTGCTGGCTGGCAGGTCAGAAGAAGCCAAGGGAGTAAAAAATCTTAGATGTACTCTGCTGCACCACCATGGAGCAATTGGAGAACACACTAACCAATTACTGGCAACAGAGAAGCCTTTCTTTGACAGAGACCACGAGATTTGGGGGCATTGCAATGACATGAGAAAAGGCTGTTCTAGGAGCTCTCCAGAGGACAGTGAGCCTCTTTGTGAAGCGCTAAGCAGATGATAACAGAATGTGAACTAATTTTGGTAATGATAATCCATCCCCAGCTCTAGGCACTGAGATGATGTGAAATCCAGATTGAGCCTTCCAGCTGGTTTTATGAGGTTGAGGTTCTTCTGCCAGTCCATGTTGCAGCTTCTCATCTTCTTAGAGGGCCAGAATGAAACTTCCGGTGATCCACCAGCTCACTGTGCGCCTCGTAGAGTCATGTTTTGCAGTGACATGCCATCTTCTCATTCCAAAACCGTGTACCCGCCTTAGCTTGACACAGACACAGTTCCTCGCTATTTGCTGTTTCACTGCTGCCAAGTCAGTATGGTACCGGGCCTGGCTGTGTTTTCAATGGCAGGAATTCAGACCATAGCAGTGGCTGTGAGCTGTGATACAGGTGTGATGCAACGGAAGCTTCTGGGGCACAAGGGACAAAACACTGCCTAGACTTGAATACATGAGGCAGTGAGAACTGCTGTGTGAGAAGGCTGCTGGTCAGCAAGCTGTCCTTCAGTGCTTGCTTTATATGGATGTCTGGAGTAGCTATGGTCTTGTGCGTGGTTGGTACAGTCAGACGTGGTCTCAGTTCAGTCACTTTGGAGTGGCTCTGCAAAACTACTCCTCTGGGAGTAAAAATCAGCTAGTAGCAGTTTCTGCCATGGGAATGGGAAGTGGATGGAATATTCCTGCAGTTCATTGTTCTTCTGTCTTGGAAGAGTTGATTCCCTGGGGCCATGGGAAGAGAGAAACAGTGGAGGGCATCTCCAATGTGTGACAAACTACCTAGACTGAAAATCTGGAGAGGACAGAAACCTTTGCTTCTCACCTCTCTGTATTCTAGAGTTCTCTGCCAAATGCTTCTTGCATATGAACTTTCCTCCAAATTGTGCTAAAAAGTGGTAATATTTGCAGACATGCCAGTCTGAAAAAGCTGTCCCATGGATTCAGAATTCAGGCAGTGAAGGCAGATAAAATTCTTGGAACTCTGTCTGCAAAATGACTACACTGAGTCTCTCCGCTCATCCTCCTGTAGCCTTGATGAGAAGAGTAACAGCCTAGATTGTCTCTGCCTTATGCATCAAGGTCATGCTGCCAAGGTCTCGCCTTTCCGCAAGGATTGTAAGGTGCAGAGGAGCTTGCCGGGAAGGAGCAATAGGATACCATGTTGCTTCAAGAAGTGGATGTACTTGTGCTAGCCCTTGAAACTCTTTGCTTCTGTTATTGAAGCTGATAAATTGCTTTTAGCTTGACAAGCCTAGCTTGAATTTGCTTAATGTCATGTTTTCAGGACATTACGGTTAAAATGTGAGATCTAATCCTGCTGTAGGCTGCTCCAAGACCTTCCCTATTCTAAACCTTTAAATCTGGGATTTTGCTGGCTTGAATTGTTTTGCTTATAGCTGCATTTGTGAAAGGAACGGGGGTCATGCATCTGTCTTTCCTATAAAGGGGGAGTAGAACTGCATCTGCTTGCCCCAGGTCTGCACATGACCTAACATTTGGTGTGCTTGGATGCTTTTCCTCAGGTGTGCTTAAATTATAAATTGATCAGCTTCCCCTTAGTGGGCATAAAACAACATTCACGCTTTGTCTATGGAAGGGGCTACGGATCAGAGTATGTCAGGAAGCCCTGAAGAGATTTACTGCTCCGAGTATAGTGGGCTTACAAACTTTTTAAAAAACGTCAGAAATTAAATAAGGACACATTTTCATGGGGAATGGTGTGTGCTCTTTTCCAGATATCAAAATCACCAAATTGAAGCCTAGCAGAGCAAAATAGCACTTTTTTTTTGCTCTGCTGCCTAGCCTACCCGTTTCCCATTCCTACTACACCACCAACAATTGAGGACAACTCTACAGGACTGCAGCCGAGCTACAGCTCATCCATCGTCTTTTTTTTTTTTTTTTTTCTAGATTAATGTTTTGAGGAATTAACTAGCCCTCCTGTACAGGGCTACACACAATACAGAGGGAAGGTAGAGTTATAGACATGGGACAAGGTGGAATGGTGTGGGAATACTGAGATGTATACAAATTGCTGCTCTCTGTTGAGCTGCAAAAAGCATCTTGCAGCAATGACAGTGACAGTATGAAGAATCCAATGTAATTGGTGGTCAGCAGAAGTGACCTGTAGGAATTTTCAGGGCTGTAATGCATAGAACCAAACATTTCCTTAGTGATGTTTTCTGATGGGATCTGGAGCTAAATGGTTCACCAGAAAGAGGGACTTTCTCTAGTTGCACTTTTATACAGGAGAAAGACTGCGTGATTGCTGGTATCAGCAAATAGGGCCTGGTTGCTAGGGCAGTCAAGGTACGGAAGAGATGGAGCTGAAGTAAAGGTGTATGTAGACATTTCAGCAAGAAGTGCCAGAAGAAAGGGACTGAATGAAGATACGTGAAGACAAAGAGAGTTTCAGAGGAGGAATTAAGCTGAGATGGCTAAGGAGTAGGACAAATATAATGCAAAGCTTAGAGATGAGAAAAGGAGAATGGTCCTTTCTGAGAAGCTATCAGTTCAGATTACCAGTTGGTGCATCCATGGGCAGAGTGAAGTGACAGGGCCACCAGCAGCTCTTTATGTAGACAAAATGCATTTGACACACTCATCTGGAAGAGGTTTGTATGGGAGATCCTTCAAGCACGTGCTTATGTTTCATACAGATTGTACCTTCAAGAGAAACATGCTTTTATTGATATAAACCTGTTAATATGGGGCTATCAATAAAAATTCATTTCTGTTTGAGTAAGATCTGAGTGGCAGAGACACAAAGATGCCTGACCGAACACACTGCACTGAGGATGTGACAGACCTCAAATTGTGTGCTGCAGCTTTTGGACACTTCCTAGAAAGTTGCAAGAATATTTACCTGTCTCCTTAGAGAAAGCCAAAAACACTTCAGAGCATTTTTTTTTCCTGCACAGGAAAAAAACGAACTAACAAACAAAAAAATTTAACATTTGATTTGATGATTTGAAAAATTATGGGGAGCAGATTTGCTCTGCATTACTTGAGCTCTGCCATTGTAATATAATGGCCGTTACATTGATTTAGACTGTAGTAATACAGTGGAAATCATCCTTAAAAATTTTATTTTAAGTTCATCTGCTTGTAATGACTGTTCTTCACTTGAGGTCATAATTGTTATGGGCATGATTATGATCTCACAAATAAACAACTAATACTTCAGATGAAGATAGTAGCAGAGTAAGGAGAACTTTGAAAGGAAACTTTCCAGTTTTGTGTAAATGGCTCTGATAATAAGAAATTGTGGAAAAAGCCATATAAAGATAAGCTTTCTGTTGCATACATAGAAGTCCTTCTGAAAATAAGGATCTGCTACATAGACTTTTCCAAGCCATAAGATAGTGGCAATTTGATTTCTGTGGCCATGTACTCATTTTCAAAAACTCTGGCTAATGAAATTTTAAAATACAATATGTAAGAGCTTCTTTAAAACATTGAGGTGATTTATTTTTAAATACTTTTGAATTTGAAAATGATTGGCAACAAATCCATCTGTTAAGCAAATGTTTTTATTTACATGTGCTCCATTTCTTATGAAATGATGATATGCTGCATTCCTAGAAGAAGCTGGGAAACTGGAGACCCCACCTTCTGCTTTTTAGTCCTTTCAAGTGTAATCATTGGAAGATAAAGAGCTCAGGCAACTAGAATGAATAAGTGTTCTTGGTTCTCTAACAGGCAAATAGCTTTTATTCAGCTGTTATAGTCCCCGATTTGCTCTACAGAATTTCTTCAGTAAGGAAAGCTGTGTTACCTGTTGATTACTTTGACTTGTCTTTTCATAAAGAAGACCATTTTGGCGTGCTCCAAGAACATTGGTAATAAATACAGATCTGCTTAGAGTGTATTTTTAATGGGTAGCAGCATTGCTTAAGGGCTGCCTTTGAAATTGGCCAATGTAACTGGAAAAAAAAATGGATTTTGCATTCGGTATTACATCTAGTTTTTATCTACTTTTGTCATACAGGAAAAATCTGTTGAGCAGCAACTTCATTATTGCTAAGATGCCTTTTGTTTTTTTTTTTTTCCCAGGCAACTGAGTACTCAGCCATGGCATCATTAGCTGGTGGATTAGATGATATGAAGGCCAATATAACAAGCCCAACTTCTGCAGATATAGGAACTAGCGTGCCGGGACCACAGTCATATCCTATTGTAACAGGTAAGGAATTGTCCAGCACTGATAAGTGATGCAGAAAACTCTGTGTGTGCACATTGCAATGTGCTGCCCTTCAAGAAGGGATTGTGTGAGATGTGTAATCATTCTCCTCCAAAAAATCACTATGTAATTTCGTAGCAGACCAGTCTGGAGTCAGACACATGGCCTATATATATCATGAGTGTTCACCTGAGCTAAGAGATGACACATCCCATTTCACAGAGTGGTCCATAACAGGATATATCCCTCCATGCAAGCTGCACATCCTAAATGTACAACTGAGGAAAAGAACACTCGTCCGTGCTTTTATGAAAAGCTGCATGTTTTTTTTTTTGTAAAAGTATCTGACCTTTATGATTAGATTTTTAAAATTATGTTTCAGAATGGATTGAATTTGAGATGTATTTCCTTCCTGTAAATACCTGTGTTTTGGGTCATTTCAGGAATTATAATTGTGTACTAAGTCTGAGTGTTTAGCTGAAAAGTAACTACTTACTGCAGGAGCACACCACCATCTGCATTTCCTTCATAGGCACAGGCTGAGCATCAAAACAGAATTTGCTACACACCCTGATGTTTTAGTTATTTAGGACTGACTACCCCACTTCTTGGAGGAGATTGCCTAAATGGAAAGTGAGGCCAGCAGGAGGTCTGGATAGGAATGATTAGCTGACAGTGGAGTCTGTTCTAGCTGGAAATGCTGGCAGAGAAGTTCTGGCAGCTTCAGCCATTGAAAGTTTCAGAAGAGAAATTCTTGAATCATATAGGGTAACTGCATTAGCATCCAGTGTCTGGAGGACTGATCCAGGAATTCCAAAATAATGGACGAGTGAAGATACTGAACTGCTAGCAAGGACATCACTTATTTTTTAAACTTAACTGCCACAACACTGGTCTGATATGCAGTGAACATATTTAATCTTTATACTTGGACATGAAGGCATGAGTAAAGCATGGTTCATTCATCTGCTAGTATGAATGCTTTTAAACGCAACTTACGAGGAAACTTGTGTTTCTTTCTCAGATCAGGATTCTATGTACTTATTATTTGTCAAGTCATTAAAAGTATCATGTAACCACAGTTGAAAGAGTATAGGAGAAACCATTTCCTCCTTACCTTATTTTCCAGAATCACTAGTGATTTTGCTGTTATTAGTCATAAGTAAGTTCTCTGCTATAGAGTACTGTAGAACTGGATGCTTCTTAAAGCACGACTGACTGAAGAAATTACTCTACAAAGCTTGTTTTATATTTTACCTGAGTTCTTGTGACATTATATACAAAAAGTTGAACAAAAGTTCTAGATGGCGTATTTACTAGTTCTCCTTGGGAACAGAGAACATTTTTATGACAACAAATCTAGAAAAAAAACTGCCATGGATCTTAAATGTGACAGGGCTGTAACAAAACGTATGTCTTATAAAGTAGTAGGTGTTTATATATTTAATTTGATATTACTCTCAAAAGAGTTTTCTAACACCTGCATCTATTTCTGTTTGATATATGTGTTTTTAAAAGATAATTTTTTTTCTTCTCTTCATAATGCTTACTCAGAGATGTAAAGATAACTTTGCTTTCTTTTGGTAAAGTGCCAGATCGAAGGCACACTTGAGGATATAACTCCTACCATAGCTTTGATAAACTAGTCAATTTTCTCCAAAGTATCAGAAAAGAGGAGTTACAAAAGACTCTGAAGGCTTTTCCATTCCTACTACTTTTTTCACCTTATTGCTTACCAAACAGTTTTTCAGCTGGTAATGGTTAAATTTCTATAAACCATTCAGAATTTGGTGTACAATGATGTTAATGGCTTAATAGATTGACCTAGTGAACTTTCCAATAAAAGTCACTAGGTTCCAAGTAAATTTGTAACAGCTTTGTTATCTGGACACAAACAGCTTCCAAAAATCTGACAAGTGAATTGTAATATACAGAAAAATCTGTGGGAGAAAAACTTTTACTTTGCAAAGTACTCTGTTTTGTGTAAAGCAGAGCTGTGAACACATGATTGCACAGTATTTTAACACAGAATGGAATAATGATGTTCAGAGAGCTTTTAGCCTCCTCCTTTGTGATAAAGAACTTGAAATATAGTCCCACAAGAGTTTGAGAAACAGGTTTTATTGTTCTTTATTGTGGCCTAAGAAAGCAATGCAATACTTTTGAAAGGCTGGTATCTGCAGTTTCACCTTCACCAGTTTTTATGAGAATCCAGAGACAGTTCTGGTCTGTCATTTGCAAGATATTTCAAGATATTTCATAAAACACTTTAATGAAAATGAAGCTGTGAATTGAAGTATATGATCACAATTTTTCATTGTTCTTATTTCTGGGCCATGGTTTGTAGAGTAAAGCAATACCAAGAGTTGGGATGCAAAAGATCCCCTGAACACCTGTTGATGGAAAATGTAAGGTTCCCATTTACTATCTTGTTGTCAGATCAAAACAGTGGAGATATTACTTGAAAAGAAAAGGACTACTAAGCATTGGCAATCATGTGAGCATTTTCTGCTAAAATATGAATAAGGAAAATTTAAATGACAGTTCTCAGCTTCATTTCTCCAGTGTTATGTACGGCCAGCCAAACATCTGATTCCTCTCCTTCATTTTTATGCCACATTAAGCATTTATGCCATATTAGGCCAGAAAAGAAAGAAAAAAAATCTTTTCTTACTGCCATATAAGCACTGCCAAGTGCTCTCTCCATTGCAATCCAATGACATGTGCCCAGGTCCATGCTTCTGTAGCGAGCATTTTCCTAGCAGTTCTTGATTGCAGCTATCTGCAGATGCTGATTTCAGTGTGGTATCCACACGTTGAAAAGAGAAAGTGGTGCTGAAATTGACACCTTTGTTTGACTCTCCAGTGCCTCACAGAGGACAGACTGTTAAACCCACAGACCTCCCTGATGGCAGCTGCTGGGAGAGTCAATTTTTAGCAGCAGCCTCCAAAACTGACAGTTGACAAACCTGACTGAAGCCAGAAGTACATTTCATTTTAGTGGGATCTGACATGAACCCTTCATTGCTCCATTGGAAAAAGTTGCTAGGGACAAAATGTCAGGAGTGGACTTCCTTTTTTATTCCTAAATGTTTGAATAGGAGAACTTGGTCTTCTCCAGCATCTGTCTGTCACAACTGTGCCTCCCTTAGCTTCCTTGCTCATCCAAGGTGCTGCCAAGGCATATCAGATGTGCTGGCTTCGGTATTTGATGAATTTGACATAGTGATGATTAAGAGGCCACAGAGCATTTTGCAATTTACATGGTTGCCTACATGTCTGTGAAGCTGAAGACCAAGATTCTGACAAATAGAGATAAATGCTTCTTTATTCTTCTCACCTTACTTTGGAACCAAACCACAGAAGGAATATGATCTTACATACCTCTTCCTGGGATCAACCTTAAAGGCAATGTCCCCATAAACCAAATATATCAGGCTTTCTGCACATTTTATATGCATATCACAAAAGAAAAAAGAAGGACAACAATGCTGTGAGCAGAGTCCCCTTGGAAAACGTTATCTTGAAGGACAGGAGAGGGTAGAACACTGAATAGCAATCATGTTAAATCATGTTATCTGCTGCAGCTTGCAGTGGGAGACTCAGGCAATGAAACATAAGGCATCCTGGACTTCAGGCTGAATTGAACATGAAGTCAGTGAAAAAATGCATGTGACTGAATAGACTCTTCCACTCCAGAAAAAAAAAAATAAGTGTGGAAGCACCCACTAACTTACATGTAATATATTGCGCCAGGTGTTTTTTGTCTTCATAGAAACCTACAAACACAGCAGTTTGTGCAGAAGGCTGCAGAGAAGGGTGCAGAAATCTGCTGAGGAAAGTGTGTGCATGCTCAGAAATGATGCTAGTGTGCTGCAGGGCACGGTCCTAAGCAAATAACTGTGGACCCACTGAGCCAGACTGAGCTCCCAAGGAAGAATGCAGGTCTGCAAGTCTGAGGCTGCAGGCAGTTCTGGGGCCCTCTTGCTGAGGCTGGTACTGGGCTGTATTGTTTTATTGCTTGTAGAAGTGTGTGGTGGTGGAGGGTCGATGTTGCTAAATTAAGGAACTGTGGGATAAGCTGCGTAAATAAGTTCATTAGACTGTGAGGCTCGACAGATGATGATAAAAGATCAGATCTTCTCTGAGAATTTGCAGAGAACCAGCATTGCAAAACTGTGCTATAGAAGGGGACACCTGAGTGTGTGCTTACCAGGCTGGGAAATGGAGACTCCCATGATAGTATAGACTGGAAGTCCGTGAAGTCTGGCACCGAGAGGAAGGCTCCTGCTCTACCTACAGACCTACAGCTACAGAGCAAGTTTGGTGCCCTGGCAGCAGGCAAGAGGCTGAGATCGCTTTCCAGTGAAGCAACTGAGCTGAGCCTGAGTCCACAGAAGTCTCAGGAAGGAGTAAATCGTAGTAACGGAAGATTTCCGCGTAAAGAAGGTAGCCAGATTGACCTGTCATCTAAGGAGGCTGATGACACCTGGGTCTGCAGAGGTGCTGACAAAGCTTGTCAAGCCCTGACTGTTCTCCTGCTGCTCTTGCATGTGGGCACCGCTTATCTTTTATTTGGGCAGCAATTTTCAGGTCTGCTAGGGATGTCTGGAAGCATATCAAGAATGACCATAAGAATGGGAGCAATTGTTAATGGGAGAGAGTCTCATGTGGTTTTTTCCTGATGGGGAAGGGCTTGAGGAGGAGTGGATGGATGCTACAGGCCAAGAACTAGGGGCAACTGGTTCCAACAAAAATTGGAGAACTGAGAAATCATTAGTCTGCATTGGAATGCAAGGGGTGCAAGGTGATGCGGACAAGGGAGACCTCAAAATAAATAAAACAGGTCAGGACATGCAGATAAGAAAGTGCTGAGAAGGTCATGACAAACAAATGAATGAGTGAGAGTTCTGACAGCAGTTGTGAACCTGCAATCTGCACATGAGAGTGCCGTGTCGGGATACCTAATAAAACTGCAATACAGCCTCTTTAAGGAGGGCTGG